TTTTTTGCATGTTATAGGGACACATGGATGGAGCATAAAACTGAGGAACATTTTTTCGAGCGACTTTAGAAAGGCAGAAAGTCCCAAAAAAAGTGGAAACAATGGTTTGTGGTTCGATCCCCCTTGAAGACAAATTTTTGCATTTCTCTGATTTCACTTTCTTGGCTCGTATATGTCTGAACTCATTCACTGAACAAAAACCTTCCAATGATGCAACTATTCATTGCTACAAATGCTGTGGAGTATACTAAAATGCAGAATCATAAGAGAAGAGTTTTGCCCTTTCTAACAATACCAGGGCCGCTTAAAATTATTGTCATTTATGCTCCATGAAATGCCACTGTAACCTGCAATGATACCGTTTCAAGAAGCGCTCCTCGTCCTCAATTACTTTCCTGGTAAGAGACAAAGCTGGACCATTAACCTTGCCGAAGTCCGCAAGTCATGCTAGAACATATCGCATTAAGGGCAACCACAAAACCACCAAATGGAAGTCTATTGATCGCGGTCTCTCAACTCGTAACAGACAATGCCTAGGAGGAAATAACTACATGGGCCGGTCCTCCGTTGCTCATTGTGCAGATCAAATCACAATCAAAATGCAAATCATCTGTAAATTGAAAAGGAGTTTGTGGCGCGTCTCAAAAGAAACAATGTGACAGTAGATGTTTCACCCACTACCTGATTTTGGAAACATCAGACATGAAAGGAAGATCCCACGATAAGGTCAGCGGCCAAAGAAGGGGAAACTACCTACTGAAAGACAGGCGGACCCTCCAAGGATCCGGACCGATACGCAACTCCCAACGGAGGATATGCCCTCGGCGATCTAGCATGCTGTCCCCGCGCCACTGTCGCCGCTGCCCGCCCACCCCTTCGCGCCTGGCCCTAGCCGATCGGCAGAGAGGGCATTAGCGTTGGTGAGGTCACTACCAATGAAACACGTCTTAAGTGCAACGGGCAAGAAGTGGTTCCTTTTCTGGGTAGTTTCTCATCCCTGCAGCACTGACCTCTTCATCACTGACCACATCTATGTTGATTTCTAGTGAGCGGTCTTTTCATGGTGAACGCATTTATTACTCTAGAAGAAGGCGCTCCATAATTGCAATGGGTTACGCAAGGGCGATAGGAACCCCTTGTCAAGAGAGCATGACCGCGTAGTATCAATAACACCGCATCGAATCGTGAGTAGAGGTGCAGGTGATTTACTGATGTTTTTGGACTAGTGCAGCCATCTCTAAGACAATTACGTAGCCAAAAGTCCTTGGAAAAGTCTAGACGAGATTCCATCCATCGGACTGGAAACCGGAACTCCGCACATCTGCGTCACATTGCAGGGATTGTGGAAGAGAAAAAAATAACTTCATCCAAATATGCTGTTAGTGGACTGCGACATGGATCTGTCATTTCAGAAGTCAGAAGTCCATGTCCCAGCTTAACCCTTTCGGCCCTGGCGGTGGCAATTGCCACCACCAAATTCAAACGCTTGCATTGCCGCTGAAACAGCATGGTTTTTCTAATCCTGCTAGAGGTTGCTTCAGTCAACCTTCCCCTTCCTAATTATGAGCTAAACCTGCCATTTCATTGTGTGTTGCTGTTAGTATTACAAGTATTTGTGTACAAGTGCAACAATGAATGGGCGCTGACCCCCGCAACCGGCCAAGTAAGTGTGACTTTTTCTTAAAATACTTGAAGTAGATCCATTCCTAAATCAAAATTATGGGTTATAATGTTATGCAAGATTATAAACTTTTTCGGCATAACTATGAAATTTCGAATTGTTTCGACATAAGCTAAAAACTAAGAAGGGGCCAATTTTCAAAGCTTCTTAGTTTCTTTGTTTGTGATCGAATAGCTTCCAAATTTCGCCATAATGATACCTATATGCTCACAAGTAATAAACAATAGCTAGAAGAAAAATTTCTCCACGGGGAAAAATTCAGGTCCGAAAGGGTTGATATTGCCTTCTCTAAGCCTACCCATTAAGTCTTCTTTCTCCCATGATCTTTGTGCCTTAATAAGAATGGTGTGCTCGAATATTCGTAAAGGTTGCAACAGCAGTAAAAAGGGCTTTTTCACCAAAGCAGAATTACCACCCAACAGGAGTTAGAAGAACAACTACTATTGTGGTGGAATCTGTCACGAAGCATTCTAAAATATTTGATCATTTTTTTCTCCCCTTCATGAAAACGGATTGATTTTGCTTCTACTATTCGCTCACATACGGACTACACCACGGATGACTGAAGACAGAGATAAAAGCTGATCGCGCTCTGTTATCAGAGAGCGTGAGACATTTTGGTGAATCATCGGTTCTTGGTCGGCGTTGCAAAAGGCCACCCAACCCCAAAATTAGAAAAGATTGAATATCTACCGTTCGTCGAGCAAAACAAAAACTTGTAATTATTTGACAATATAAAGTGAAGCAGAAAAATTTGCCTAACAACGCAACCGCTGAGAAATATGCGAAGTCCACATTGGAATTCAACTGAATGTTTCCTGAAAATTAGGAATAAGAAATCCGAATCTTTTACGAGTTTGAAGCGTACAACTCCATCGACTGATTGAAAAAGCAACATCGCACTGTAAACAAAGGGTAGGCTGTGGCTCAACTGCAAAAAAGGTTTTAATAATGCCGCGAAAAAAATGGGTGGGGTCACGGGCATTAGCCTGCGGCCCCCCGCCAATACATCGGTGTCTGCGTCTCACTTGTCCCTATGCTCTTTCGCTTTGACGCCTGAGGTTCCTCTTCAGAATCGTGCCCACGAATAGCTCCCTTATACTAGCATTATGCAGCGGTCCCATTTCCTTACCCTAAGGCGCGTTTCGCCCTCCTACTTTCCTTTTCTGACGCATTAACCACGCCTAGGCAATTATGGAAAGTATTTTTAATGAGCTTAAACCAGGAGCTCACATTAGGATGCTTGATGGTAGTGAAGTAGGATGAACTCGCGGTACGCTCTACGAGCACTCATCGTCATCACAAATGGTTGTTGCATCTTCTTGATAGCGACTTTCGTCCCGGTCAAAGTGTCGTCAGCGGACCTAAATCACATGATCATGAAAAAATTCACATGTAAACCATGGACTCACACAACAGTTCCTTGAGCGCCAGCATTCAGAAATCTCAAGTTCGCGTAGCGTTTAGGAATCGTGAAGGAGCAAGAAGAACCTGAGTGTGGATCCTGAAAACGAGGATTTCACGTAGAACGCGATGAAAATGATATGATCCCAGTGAGCGTACCTCCACAAGAATCTGGTGGAACTTCGAAGTGTCGTAGTCGCATTCAGAGGGGATATTGCCGTTGCATTGGTCCACATCCATCGACCCCCTGCAAAGTAAAAATACATAGTGGCGAAGTCTCTTTAGAAACGAGCACCATCACGTTGAGCAATGTGAAGAACCCTGATGGAGCAGCTTGATGTATTTCTTGTGCCGTAGAGTTTTTTGGGAGGAACTTTATGTAGTGGGCTGACGTTACAACCAGATCGTCTTATTCAAAAGTCCAAACGTGACCCAATATTTGGAGAGCGTCTCCTAAACCGCCAATAGGAGGTAAGCAAACCAGCCCTTTGGCGTTTCTGCTGGGGCCCGTATGCTGAATGTTGAAGGGAGGAGGATGAGGTCCTCGAGGTCGACGGACTACTTGAACTCGGTAGGTACGGTAGGAGAGTGATGACGAAGTGGTGCAGCTAGGTCCAGCAGCTCCGCCAAAGGCTGGTTTGCTTACCCCAGGACTAAGCCTCTCTCGCAGGTCGTCCTCTCTTAAGGCTTAGTCCTGAGGTAACATCAAATTGAGGCGGTTTTAAGGACCGAGTTGAGTTGAAGTCCGTCGACCGTCGGGGACCCCATCCCCTCCCCAACATTCAGCATACGGCCCAGCAGAAAACGCCAAAAGGGCTGGTTTGCTTACTTAACCGCCAAGCGCCTTCTATTCATAGCTTTCACCGTGAGCCACCTTGAGACTCCTTGGAAAGAAGATCTGGACGAAACGTCAGGACGCTAAGTGGATTTTCCATCTAACAAGCTCTTCTTGTGTCCTTAGAAACAATGGCAAACGCTTTTCGGGTTGCGGTTACAAAAAGAGGCCAAAGACAAAAAATACGTGCGGTGAGCTTCAAGATCTTGTATTTATATAAACCAGATTAGTCCCCCGTCAACCGCCGGGACCTTCCTTTCCTGCGCAAGCTTTCTATCCTCCGCTATGGTCCCTTCCTCCTGTGACACCAACACCTCCTGGAAGTGACGCGTATGCAACACAATGGTGTTTCATACAGTAGAAGGGACACAATCATGATATGACGGTAGATTTTTCGCTTCCCTTCCTCATCCTCCCTTCCTCTCTCCACTGCCCTCCAGCTGCCACTGCAGCACCATGTGGAATGAACGGAAGTGTGCTAAGCAGGTGTTTATATAGCCCTAAGAGTGTTATCACAACTATCCTGCTACAAAACATTGATATCTCAAATCCTGTAAGCTACCCGATTTGTTAGCGGTTTGTTTATCCCATGAGCTTCCTTCTCACTCACTTCATTTTGCGGACGGACACACATACATACACACACACACACACACACACACATACAGATACACAAACCGACACACAAAGTTAGCGCTTTATAAAATAGAAGGATATATAAAATAAGATATGGTTGTGTTAGACTCTGCAAAATGTTGCACAAACATGGATAATTCAAAGATTTTGAAGCACAACTCGTTTCGAAAGAGATCCTGATTAGAAACGATTCTAATTCCTGTCTTCTATCAGAGTTTCACAATAGATTAAGGTTAGCTTCTCAACTACGTTAGCACTTGAAGTTCCTGCGCAAGACACTGGTCACGTGTGGGGTTTTCCAGTGAGGAATTTACAAAAGCTTTTCTGACAGGATTCATGTAGATAAGTGTTCCAACTTTGTATGCTTAATTCTATCAATTAATAGCTATAACAGCGGCACGCGAAAAAAGCCGGCGCCCCAAATAAAGATGGGAAACATTACGAGGATATTAGCTGAAATCGGAGCAAAGCAAGATCAGAAGTCAAGCAAAACTGATATCAATCTTCAAAAATTATGGTGTCTCAAGTATGAAGGAAAACTGAGGAGAACGTGTTAACGCCAACAGCACTATTTGTTCTGGAATAAGATCTGATAAAGCAGAATGGCCGTAGCGGAGGCAGTGGCTAGAGGCGAGCTGTTATCGCGCGAGGGGAGGCAGGGATCGACGCTCGCAAGCTCAAGTCTCATCTAGGCTATCAAATCTTTGCTGATTGATGTTCATAGAAGCTTGCTGTTAGTTGCCACGCTACACAAAAGGGCTAGCTGTCAGTATGATCGAAGTCACAAAGTCCAAAAGCTCTGTAGTTTTTGAGCGTCGGCTAATGCATGTTCGCACTCAATTTATTTATTTACTTTATATTTTGCCAATGCTACTGCAAATGTGGCGTTATGATTTTATCAAGAAAATTCTTCCGGAACAGGGCTAGACACGAATAGAAGCTGCGTGTTCAAGACTAACAGAGTATGAAAAGAAGAAATGCCAAGGCTAGAAAGCCTCGCGGTAGAATTGAAAAGATATTTAAAACCCACTTGCCCACTTCCGCCTACAGCAAAAAGATCAGTAGGGCTATACTGCGAAAAGTCGTCACATGTGGCCACCCGTACTTTGGTGGGAAATATAACGGATAGCATCCCATCTCATCAATAATCCAATAGCAAAAGTGAAACAGCTCTTGCAGCGTTAACTGGAATTGTTTTGATGCGAGAATTGAATGGAGAATGAGGGGGCAAGGTCAGTCTGCAACGCAGCTGGTCGGTTATACCGGACGGGCCAAGGTATTATTGTAGCCTCTAAAAATATATCAATCCCAGGCGTAAGGCCCAGACAGTGTAACAAGTGGTCGAAGAGCCAAGTTATTGGTTAACCTTCTGGATGGTATGTCATTGCATAAGTAAATTTGCCAAAGGAAACGAACATGAATTTCGGCGCTGAATGAGATGCTGGCAGAAATAAGAAGTGCACGTTAAGTAACAAAATTCTTGATCTTTGACTTCGCTGCGAAAATCCTATGACAAAAAGAAACACCGAGAAGCACAACGTTGAGTGATGGGAGTGCTGAAACGCGAGCGCAAACTGAGTCATGTGAAAAACAGCAGGAAGGGCATAGGAGACGATCACTATACACATTGATCGAATCGAGTGTGTCTACACATTAGAGCGAGGTCAGTGAGAATGGGCTACATTCAGAGTCATTATTGGGCTTTTTGTTCTCGTTCTGCACAATATCTCATGGTTCGAGAAAAATATGGAAGCTCAATGCGAATTTCTTGAAAAGAGTGTATGGTTTCTTGCGGACAGCTGATGAAAGTGCTGATTATTACACCATCCTCTTTTTCATGCGATGATGTCATTCTTGGTCTGGATTGTTCACTACCCTTGTAGGCTTCATAAGCTCGTGAAAAGTGAGGGAGACAGTTGCAAAACTGAATCACTTTAGCGACCGTTATGGGAACTTCTTTTGTTATACGTCATCTATTTTTAAATGAAAACCATTAATTTTTTATTTTAAATTTCTTTTGTTATTCTTTAGTTGTTTTTTTAAAGTGAACATTAATTTTTTACATTTCTATTCACTTCTGGGATCCTTATTCTTCTCTTAACTCATGGGAATTTTTTGAAAAAATATATGGTTTCGTTGTTTCTTTACTTCTTCCTCTTCAGTCTTTTTTTCTTAATCTTTTTAAAGCAATATGTGATGTTTCATTTTGCTGGATAACTGAGACGTACGAAGGGAGCGTCAGAAGTACAAAAGCACTATAGAAAGCACGAATCTTGTGAGGTCGACCGTGGTACAATAGGAAAAAGCCTTGCTTTCCGTGTGACGCACTGTCAGGTTGCACCAGTAACATCAGCTCGTTGTTAGGAACCTGTTGGGTTTACGCTAAGGGAAACTCCTTGGAGTCTAGTTCCAGCCCGTGCCTTTTAATCCGAAATCTGTTCAAATAACATCAAGGTAAAATAATAGCCATATAGTTGTGTATCGCTACAGTCGAAATCTCGAAGTCAGATTAGGCGTGGCTATGGATTTGACGTGGCCTTTGCCGCACTTGATAAAAGCCGTGAGGATAGGCTGTTTCTAACGTACTCCATTGGATATCAGCAGAGCATGCTTATCCGCGCAACTTCCATCAAATGCGGCGGCCGCCACGTCAAACCATAGACACGCCTAATCTGACTTCGAGATATCGAGTGTATGTCCGCGCAACGGTGGAACCTTGAGTTAGTTCAACGTTACTCTTGGTTATATTTCTCAGTGGACGTCTGAACGGAACGTCGGAACCGCTAAAGGGAAGCTTGAGAATCAGAATGTAAATACCACCTGAAAGCAAAGTTAGAGTTTTTAGAGACAGGACACAATTTGGAACGACAGCACAATTTTGTTGAAACGGTAGGATGGCTTTAGTAACGTTTCACTATCATTGCACGACACGTACAACAAACACAAATGAAGTGGTAAAACAATGTTTCCGGTTACCTTTGCGTTACTTGACTCTCTTCCGAATTCTAATTTATTACTATAACTGTACTAATAACATTTTCAATTAGTGGTTTGTTTCCATGGGCCTTGTTCTCCAGAGTGTCCGCCGAACTCTTTTGTTTCTTTACGGCTATAGATTAATTAATTCTTCTTGTGCTTCTTGCTCATAAAGACTTGTGGGAAATGAACAAGATTTCGTTAAATGTGAGAGTGCCTATCTCATTTCTCTTGATAACAACTTCGAACTTACAAGTAGTCCGGCCACTTCTCAATTCTAGTTTGCATACTCGTATTCGTAACTTTCCTCGATTAAACAAAAGAGATATGAATTTGGTATCAGTCAATTAACCTATTGGCGACAATTGCGGCATGATGTGGGGACGCAGCATGGTGATAATTTTTTGCGCAGGCCTTGCAAGATTGTTTTAGTGGCATATTAATCGGGAAGGCGTTGCAGTATTTATGGTAGTCATGATTTCTACATATCTTTCCTATATTTTACAGAAGGAGATCTTGAAAGTGTTTTTTCAAAGGAAAGCTTCCTATTTTGAATATACAGGGTCTCCATATTTCTGGCGCCCCAACAGCAATATACTTTACAGCTTCTAAACGGACGATGCTGACTGAATTAAACACATAAGGTAAATTGCATCATCCCCAACAATGTGGAACAACTAGATATCGAAATACTCTCCAACGCGACTAATGCAAGCTCGAAGTCGCTTCTTAGGCTTCGCGCACGTTGCACGCAGGAATTCCTCGTCTATTTCTTCTCGGGCTCCCTTCAATG